TTTCAGCGCAGATGACTTATTGATGCCGGACTTCTTCCAGTACATATTCTGGATTTTCTCCCAAAGTTCATCAGCTTTTGTTTCTCCCGAAAAGTGATGAAACACACTTTGATCAATCCACTGTCAAATATTACCAACAGTCTTCCTGTGCATATCAGCCCACTTTTTATCAGTCATATCACTTGGCCTACATTCATCCCTTAGAACAGGATCAAACAAATCTTTGCAATATAACAAATCTTCCATTCTAGGCTTTCACATATGATAATTGGATGAAGTCAATTTAATCATCGTACCAGTACCCGATGACTCTTCCATTTTATTGGTGTAACACCTCAACTACCGAAGCGTAGCTCTCATGCCACTGTTGTGGCGGAAAGGGTATAAACACAACAAACCACGGAAGCGAACCCATAGAAAAACTCCTTTCCTACTACCAATAAAATAGAACAACCAACTAAGTAACTAATTCAACAACTGATAAAATAAAGGAAGCACACAAATTTACGTGGAAACCCAAATCGGGAAAAACCACAGGACTGTAACAACAGTCAAATCTCCACTATCACAATAATGGAAAAACAGTCTTCACCAACCGGTGGATACACAGGACTTCACCCAAAGGTGGATTACAACAATATTCTTCCACACACACCTATCACAAAGTAGGACTGGAAGGATCTAACCAAAAGAGAGCTAAACCAAAAACTAAACCCTAGCTTTCTTTCTTTTTCTCTCGTACAAAACAATGCACGGCTGCCCAACTTTTCTTTTCTTCTTGGCTGAAAATATACACCTAAAAATTATGCCAAAGCCTTGCTTTTATAGAGCGAAAAAAAACCTACAAACAAAAACCCAATTGGAGTGGGTTTTGTTTCCTAAAACCAAAGCCAAATTTGGCTTGGTTTTATTTGTTTCCTTGTTGACCCAATTGACGGGAATACCGGGTCAACAATTAATGTTAAGGGTCATGTGGTAAGGATTATGAATCCCACATTGAAGGCATGAGGACATGTAAATCAGTTAATAAGTAAGGTGGTCTTAGAACTCATTAGCTTGAGCTTTTGAGTTCAGATGGGTCTTATCTTACTTATTGGGCTCCATGTCGGGTTTTCTTCTCCAGATAAATCCCCAACAGTGGTATCAGAGCTCAGGTTGGGCCAAGTGGGTGGGTGATTTAATCCAAATTATCTCGGTTGATCTGACTGAACCCTAGCAGCAAAGGCCCACTACGAGCGTAAACGTAGTGATGGACGGCCCAGTTACTCAGGTGGAGTACAGATTTGTGCTTGTCAAGATAATTTGGAAGCTCGATGTGGAGATTGCCCATGACAGGGGAGAATGTTGAGGGTCATGTGGCAAGGATTATGAATCCCACATCGGAGGCATGAGGACATGTGAATCAGTTAATAAGTAAGGTGGTCTTAGAACCCATTAGCTTGCACTTTTGAGTTCAGATGGGTCTTATCTAACTTATTGGGCTGCATGTCGTGTTTTCTCCTCCAAATAAATCTCCAACACTAGGATACATTAATTTCATTTTGATAGCCACTCAGGCAGTATAGTCGAGATATTCAATGAAGTGTCTATTCACTTAAGACATAAGTGGTACTAATAATTAACTCAAAATTTAAAAAGAATAGATATTGAAAATAATGTGTTCTAGCAAAGAAAATCAAGCATAGAAGGGAGAGTTTCATGTTGTAGATCAAGAAAATACATACTGCACATATGTTAGTTTCTGTTTTTGGTTAGACCACCTTTCTTTCCACTTGACTATTCTATTTTGATGGCACACACAATTTGAACAAGGTGGAGAATAAATTTTTTTTTTTTTTTTTTTGGTTAACAAGGATAAAAATTAAAGAACACTATGTTTGGGAAAAATGGTCGTTAAGATTTGGTGTTCAGCTTCTAGAGAGATGCAAAGTCTTCGTAGCTGAACTTTTGGGTAGGTTCTTTCATGCTCAATGTCTTGGCAATGCGTAACCTTTGGAAGCTAGATCATACTGAACTTTGGGTTTGCCGTCCATCGTTGATCAAAATACAAGAGATTGCTATAAATGATTTTACGCATCTTCTGTTTGGCTGCTAGAAATCAAACAGAATATCTCTTAGGCGATGAAGGAACTTCTCAAACTAAAGCCAACTAAGGCCGACTGCACTCTTGTGTCAATGTTACAGGTAATAGAATTCAATGGATTGGTGATGGGAAGCCATTTTCTACAACTGGTACAACATGACAACAACCTAACAACATGATAGAGACTCTCAATATAATCTCTCTTGGGGCAAATACGTACGTAGTCCCAAAACATTATTTCATCACATGGTTGGTTTGTTTAGAAAGGTTAAGGACAAGAGCACATGTTGCGAAATATGACCAAAACATTGACTATAGATGTGCTCTATGCTAGCCAGATATGATGAAACGATTGAGCGTTTATTTTTTTAATGCCTTTTCTCGATACAGATTATTACTAAGACAATGGCTCTAGTTGGAATATCTTTATTAGCATCTCAATGGTCCCACGTCAAAGACATTTTCATATGAGATTAGGGATCGAGGTTTGCTAAAGATGGCGTTCCCATGGGATTGCTTGCTTCAGCTATTTATCACATATGGGAAGCAAAGAAGCAATTTTCATATCTGAATCTTTATCAAAACATGAAATCATGAGTAACATTGTGGTTTCTCTAACAATGAAGCTCTCCACGGTCAACAAAATGAAAGACACGGGGAGTAATAGAGCATGGTGCAAGATAATGAAGATTGCGCAATTGTTTGTTTGATGTTCATTGTGTATCCTTTGCTTATTTGTATTCCATAGTAAGACAAGATAGTTATATATACTTGAGATCCTCACTAGACTTTTGATACGTGAGTGAGCGATGTACTAAACTCTCTTTATCATAGAATGAAAAAACGCAACTTTCGTCAAAAAAAAAAAAAAATTGCATATCATTTAAGAGAAAATGTTATTTGCAGCTGCTGTATTACGTATGATCATACAATCAGACACCACAATTAGCATATAGTAGTAATTTTAGGGAGAAATTGATAATTTTTAATAAAAATTTAGCAACAAAATAAAGAGTGTCGATGCTTGCTGCATTAAAACAAAGATATAGCAGCTATGCTTCTGAATAAATGATAAAAAAAAAATTATGAATTCGAAATTTATTTCAACTAATTTGAGTTCCATGCTAATAAGTCTGTTTAAGACTTGAAAAAACTCATAACAAATTCGACTCAAACCCCATGCAGTGTGAACCACTTTATGAGATAAATAAAAATGACCACCATAAACTGGTTCCGGTTTGACGGGCAAAACCACCCTTAAACTGCATATAGTTAGAAGGGTCTATTGGGCTGAACTATTCTTAGCTAGTTCTTTGAGCTGTTGCAGTTCAAAAGAACGTACTATACACACAGAAAACTGAAGTTAATTAGAGAGAAGGCCATTTTGAACGTGTATCGCGAACACAATTCTATCGTGGATTATTTGACATTATTGGGGACTATGACTCATGGCCTGGGATGATTATATTGGCGCGATTAATCGCCATCGGGTGTCAATTTAAAACATGATAAAATGATACTCCCGACGAACATTTCATCAATTTAGTTTTCATCAGGATATCGTTTTAGTTAAAATAAAAACCTTACAAACATTTCATAATAATTAGAAGAACAGAACGAATGCTAAAATATATTTTTAGGATTTTTTTTCTAATTAAAAAGACATCCTCAATGAAAACTAAAACGAAATCAAAATACCTTATAATAACGACCGGAGGGAGTACAATAGAGGTGACATTCTTAGAAAAAAGTTAATAAGAAAGAATTAGCGCAACAATATCTAAAAGGGAAAAAGTCACTTTATGTACCCTACGCATAGGGGGTCTCCAATTTATGTATCATAAGAATTGGTCTCTCCAAATTATGTACCTTGTGTTTGAATTTTGTTGTTTTAAGTATTATTTCAAGGACAAAATGGGAAACTAACAAATTTTTGTCCTAAACTATTTCGTTTTTGCCCCTAAACTTCTGGAAAAAAGCAAATTACACCAAAAATTTTTATGAATTTTACACAAATCTATCTTTCAGTCAGATTTCAGCAATTTAAACTTAGATTTTTAGTCAAAAATTTTCCATGACTTCCAGTGTATATTGTTTTTGGCGTACATATTGCTTTTATTCTAACGAGTTCTTTTTCATTAGTAGTTTTATTTATATTTTTATATATCGTTTTGCATGATTACTTAAAAATATATATATTTATAGTCCTTTTTTGTACTTTTTGTTCAAGGTTTGGGTACTTTGATGCATTTCTAGAAATTATACTTATTTTTTTAGATTTTATTTTTATTTGCCTAAAATATAAGGAAAACATAGCTCAAATAATAAAATACACTCGTATTCTTTTTAATGTACATATTTTTTATTTTAGCTATTTTTTATTATAAATTATATTTATATTTTAGAGAAAATCTAAAAAAAATTATATGTTACTAGAAATGCATCAAAGTGCGAAAAACTTGAACAAAAAAGTATCAAAAGAAAAGGAATAACTAAAATAATATTTTTAAAATAATCATACGAAACGACAAATAAAAATATAAATAAAACTACTAATAAAGAAAAACGTTTTATAATAAAAAAAAAATATGTACGTCAAATATAATAAGCACCGGAAGTCGTAGGAAATTTTTGACTAAAAATCTATGTGCAATCTTCTGAAATCTTATAGAAAGATAAATTTTTGTAAAAAGTCAATAAAATTAATTGTGCAATTTGATCTTTTCCAGAAAAGTTTGAGGGCAACAACGAAGTAGATTAGGAAAAAAATTTTGTTAGTTTCCCATTTTGCCCTTGAAAAAGTACTTTAAACAACAAATTTCAAATATAAAATACATAATTTGGGGAGACCAATTCTTAGGGTATATAATTTGGAAATCCCATATTCATAGGGGACATTAAGTGGATTTTTCCCAATCTAAAATTCAAATTTAACACCTCCGGCGGCACCAACATTAGGATAGCATTTTATCCCGAAGAACTCCGCAAACGTTCTCAATTGTTCAAAAACCATGGTATCGACACAACTCCTAATCAACGGCGGGAAGAAGAGCCAGAAACTGGTCAACATCACAAACCCAATTGTCAACGGCCCCGACACCCACCGGGGCAACTTCGTCTCCCACCGACCACTGGAAGCTTTCTTCTTTACTGCCACTCCCAAAGCGACACAAAACCCATGAAGTAGAAAAAACAAGGTCATTTCCCATGTGGGCTTCGCGCCACCGGTCAAGAAGTACAGGAGGAGCTCGTGAATCAGACCGGCAACAAAAATAGTCACCGTGAGGGCCGTGGGTGAGGCCAATAATTTATTCCTCCGTTCAACGATTGCCGACGCTGACTTCACGGGGCTATATACAGTGCGCCACAGATTCTTTGTCATCGCAAGGTTCCACCTTTTGCCCCAGAAATCTTGAAGGGAAGTGGATAAATACGGCCGATCGGACGGTGATTCGAGGTCGAGGCCCACCGTGAAATGAAGCATTAGATTTGAGATTGTCCCGAGACAATCGACTCCTAATAAAATCAAACAACCATAGATTACAAGTAGAATTCTTGGGTGGAATTCGTCTTTGTAGCAGAGCAATACACATACCAAAACAGAGGATACTAAAATTTCCAGGGCTATATAACCGAAATTGACGGTTTTTTTTGAGTGATTGAGCGGCGGCGGAGAGCGGCTTTCTCTGTTCAGAGGGGGTGTAATTTGCGAGTGATATTACCAAAATCTGTGAGCCTGCGGCGACAAGAACTGGGGGCAGATGGATCACGGCGGCGAGGTAGAAGAACAGGGGAAGCAGAGAAATCAGGCGGAAGAAACCTTTGGGGATTATTGAAGAAATGAAATAAGAATAGAAGAGGCACCCAAAAAGTGTTAAATACACAGAGATATTGTTGTTCTTGACAATACCAACATCCATCTCATCTCAGATTAATCGATTTCCAGGATTCTCCCAGAGAAAATGGGGGGTTGTTACGAGTAGCAGATTGTTCTATAAACTATCAACTATAAACTACTACTATAAACTACCAAAGGCGATTTTACTATTTTCACCAATCAAGACAAGATGGAATGTCTTTTAGTAGCATTGACACATGATTTTTCTAATTTTTATAGCTGATGTAGCCATCAACACAAAAATGAAAAAAAAAGAAAAAGAAAAAGAAAGAGAACATTGAACTTTGAATTTGTGTTTCAAAGTTACACGCGCCAACAAAGAAAGAGAACATTGAACATTGAACATTGAACATTGAACTTAGGTGAAGGCATTGGTAGACACCTGTCCAACAAACTATGTCCAACTTTTGCGACTGCAGAACTGATTTTTCCGTATTCAAATGCAAATGCTGCAGCTTAAATGACAACGTTATATCCATGTCATTTCAACAGTTGGCTTAAGAGTTGTTTTATTGCATAATCAGAGAGAGTGACCCTCTAGATGTGCTTCTAAAATTGATAGTTATGAAACTTTATGATTCTTTGAGTGGGATTTTGTTCTTGTTGTAGTAGATTGCATGAGTTATCACCACGTGTTTGTCGGATGGATAAGCTCTCTGGCTTTTTCTGTATGTATCAATGGAATTTTAGAAGGGTATTCTAAAGGAGCAACGTCAGGGAGATCCTAATTCACCATATTAGTTTGCCCTTGTGATGGAGGCCGTGGCTCAAATGATTGATGCAGGTGGCCTTTTCAAATATCATTAAAGGTGTGAAAATACAAAAACTTTTATGTTAAGTTTTGCAAATAATCTCTTCTTATTTTGTGCTGCAGGAAATCATTTCGATACTTAGAACACGTACACCAATGGTGTATAGTTGGGGTGTAATGTCAATATTAAAAATAAAGTCGGTTGCTGGAAGGTGGAAAAACTTGTCAGGCGTGCCAAAAAAATTAAAGCTACTCAAACTGACTGCATGTAGGGCGCTTGCAGGCCCATCACCACCGGGCTAGCGCCCCATTTCTCTTTTTTTTTAAAAAAAAAAATTAGGAATGCCATTTTTTTTTCTTTTCCTTTATATTTTTTATCATTACATTTTTTGTAGATATCAATTTTTATTCCCATAATCTTGTTTCCCCTTTTATGACCATTAGACATTTATTAGATATTAAAAAAAAAGTAGTTGGTTTGTTACCATTTTTGCATTATAGTTTTGTAATTTTTTTCAAAACATATTTCAAAATTTTTGCCTATAAATACATCTAACACTTTCCCTATTTTTTTTTTCTCTCTTTTATACTTATACAGGCTATACTTGTACTTTTACTATACATTATCTTTCTTTTTTTTCCCCCTCTCTTTATATGTCCCAAATCCATTCATCATGTTTCAACCACCCGGTTATTTTTTTTAAATGATTGGAAATAATTTTTCAATGAGATTTACAAATATTAGTTCATCTTCTGGTAGTCTACCTACACTAATATCAACTAGAAGACACGTCCAAGACGAATATGACTCTCAAAATGTAACGTCGACGGTCTCAACTCCCTAAAGTTATTTTCTAGCATTTTTAACTTAATTTCATTTGGATAATGTTTCTCTCTCGAGCACCAGGAAAAAAAAAACAAAAATTTCAAATTATCAAGGTTGGAGTAAGGAGGAAGTCATACTTCTGCCTCGTGCATGGCTCATAATTTTTAACTACAGTGTTACGGGAAACTACCAAGATATGAAGAAATTTCGGAAGCGGATCAATGTCTATCACAACACAAATTGAGGATCTTTACCAGAAAGAGAACAACAAGATAAGTTAATTGTCATTGGTTTTGCTTTTCAAACTATGTCAGTGAATTTAACCTACACTACAGTAGAATATGGAATGAGCACCGTAGTGGATGGAGCGATGACCTAGTAAAGGATGTCATGAGGTATATTACCAAATTTTTTTTAAAAAAAACATTTTGCGCATAAGCATCTGCTGAAAACAGTGAAAGAAGATCCAAAATAGGTAGTTGTTTTTGTAGTCAAAGAGCTGTCAAAGAGAACAAGAATCAACGAATCTGGATCATATACTTCGTCATCAAATTCCAATTGAAGTGTTGAAATCAATAAGATCGGAAAGGAATTTTGCCCAGTAGGCCAAAAAGCAGCCAACAAAGGAAAGTAAAAGTCAAATGGAAAGGGTAAGGCACGGGATGACGACGATGAACTTGTTGAACTACGACAAAATAGGATGAATTTGGAAGCCTAAAAATTAGAGCAACAAGAACATTACAAAGAAAGACATACAAGAGGCATGCGGTTACCAAAGAATATAAAATTTTGATGAAGGACACCTCGGGCATGACCTCCCAGGAACGAGAAATACATGAATGTATTTGTGAAAAGATCATGTCTAACTATAGACAGTCTTGCTAGGTTATTAGTTTACTTCATTGCGGGTCTTTGTTTTTATTTAATCTAAAAAGTAAGATTTGTGTCACTGTATTTGAATTTTATTACATTGTATTATTGTATTTTAAATATAAAGTATTATTGTATATAATTTAAGAATAATTATTATTGTACTAACTTCTAACTGATTGCATGAAAAAAAAAAAAAACGTGGAAAGAATGTGGACTAGCCCAAAAAACTCAAGAAGATGTTGATTGCTAAAAGGTAGGTACTAAATACTTTATATGAATAGATACGAATGAAATGTGAGTTACATTTATTTGAATTTCACTAAAATGAATTATTCAAATAAAAAAATTTCTTCTGGCAAGTCTTTCGTTTTTAGGACACAATATAGTGTAGTCATGTCGACTTTTTGAATGTCTATGTGCATATAATGTAGTCACGTCTCTCTTTTGATCTTTTTCATATATATATTGATAGTGTTGTTACGTATTTCTTTTTTCATTTTTCCACATATACTAACATAATGCAGTCATGTATTTCTTTTTGAATTTTTCCATACAAACCTAGTGTAATCATGTCTCTCTTGTGATCTTGTCCATATGTACATAGTGTAGTCACGTTTCCCTTTTGATCTTCCTTACTCCTTTGATTTTGTCTATATATGTGTTAATATTGTAGTCAGGTCTTTCTTTTTGGATGTGTCCATAAGTACACAATATAGTCACGTCTTTTTTCTGTTTTTTTTTTAATTTGTCGCTATATCCACAGTGTAGTCACATCTTGTTTTTGTTATCTTCCTGCAAAAGTGGCCGATGTAGAAACTCCGGAATATGTTCCAAGTACACTTCTATAAATATGGAATGAGACTATTAATATTGTTCAAGCATTTTCAACTCTTATGTAATAATAATATGAAACGAAACATATCTAGAGTTCTTCTCTGAAACTTTATTCAAAACGAAGGCAACTTGACATTTTTCCTTGAAAAAATCAATGTCGGCGAAATATGACCCCGGCATCCTCTTCATTTCGATCTTCTTGCTTTTATCAAACCCATGATAACTTGACAAGCATTTTCTTTAGGATAACTTGACTCCAGCTCCTCATTCTCCCCTCATGAAATTATAAATAGTTCAAAGTGAGCTTTTCTCTCTTTGATCATCTTTTCCGTCTTCACTCGCTAGCTACCTTTCCCTTGAAAAACCTGCGCCACGAGCATTTTTTAAGGAAATTACTGAGAAAGATTTCGCATGTCTGTTAGAAACTCCATTTTTTTTTTGTCTCGTATGTCCCCCAATGAATTTCCCATTCTTTATTTTTATGTGTTCCTGAAGCATTGCTGCGCAGACCTGTTTCCCCCGATCAAAACAAGCATTCCTGGCTGCAACCGATGATTTTTCCATCGTAGCAAAGGGTTCTAAATAAGGTACAGAGGAATATCCAAGGGCAAGATATATATTGATAGCTCTAGCTGAGAAACAGTGATGAATGCTACTAAGGCAAATGAGTGATACTTAAATGGGGTAGTTTGATCATTTAGCCAACTTTATCATACCAATTAACACCTTCTAAGCAAGATTTTGCTTTCAAACTTTGGATCCATAGGGTTCTTTTAGGAGCTGGTTGGAAAGAAGGAAAGACGTACCGGGGAGAGAAAGAAGTGGAGTAAGACTGTAAGAGGGCTTGATGCATGCAGCATGCTATATTTATATTGGATATGTCGAGTAGTGTATATACACATTAACTCTTTTTTATAAAAAAATTCTGTATCTTCGATTTTCCTATCCCCTTTTCCTTTTCTATATATATATATATATACATTTTAAGAACAACTGTGAATTCATATTATAACAAGAAGCTCATCAATTACATGAGGTTGGCCAATGCTAACGTTGCCTTTGCAATTCTACAAGCGTTTTCATGTGTTATGTGAAAAAATTGTTAGGACCAATGATTTCACTATCCCAGTCACTATTACCAAGCAAGCAACCCTGGTTGAATATTGACCGATGAAAAAATAAAAATCTTTTCTTTTTTCTTTTGAAACAATTATGATACGCACTGCGAATAAAATCTAGCCAAGTAGAAGGAAGGGTTTCACGTTGCGGATCAAGAAATCACACCCTTCATATTTTAGTTTCTGTTTTTTTGGTTAGACCAACTTTGTTCCACTTGACCATTCTGTTTTGGTGGCTCACACAATTTGAACAAGGATGAAAGATTAAAAAGTAAAATAAAAAAAAAACTAAGAACAATATTTTTGGGAGATTGGCTGTTAACATTTGGTATTCAGCTTCTAAGAAGATGACAAGTCTCCGTAGCTGAACTTTTGGGGAGGTTTTGTCATGCTCAATGTATTGCGTAGCCTTGGAAGCTAGATGCCCAGATATGAACAGCTCATACTAGAATTGATAGATATTTTAATCATTATTATATGTCGGTGGGATTCCAATGCATTCTTAGAGCATTATTAACAATAGCATATTTGTTGTGTAATGTCAGAATTAAACATACATGGAATTATTGGAGGGTGAATAAATTTGTCAGGTGTTGAAAATATTTTGAGCGCTGAAACTCTGACAACATGTGAGGACGCTGGCAAAGTGTGGGGTAAAGGGGGCCCATCACATGGGCAGCCAACGGCTCAGCTCCGTTTCATTTTTTTCCAATTTCTTTTCGATGGGACCCACGAATGGTCAGCCACCATACCTCATTCATTTCTTTTTCTTTTTTTTTTTTTGCATTTTGTTTCCTTTTTTTTTTGTAATAAATTCGGTTTTGTTTTCTTTATTTTCTTTTTAAAAAATACGATTGTCAACAGCAAAATCCATTTAATGTTTTTTTTTTCCTTTAAATCTGCCCTTTCTTTTGTCTTCTTCACATCATCTCCAAAAAAAATTTCTTCATTTTGGTTGTCAAATTTGTGGCCGTAGAAATTTTTCGAATGTTGAAAAAACTAGCCGTTTCTAAATGTTTGCACTATAGTTTGATAATTTTTTTAAGAGTATAATTTAAGATTTTGCCTATAAATACCTCCAATATTGATTTTCAAAACACATCACTTTCTCTATTTTTCCTCTCTTCTATACTTATAGTTCTTTCTTTACTACACATCAACTATTCTTTTTTTCCTTTTATTTTCTACTTACCATGAGTGGAAAAAATAACAAAAATCCTCCTACAAACAATGCAAATCCGTCTCAATTTTTTAAATTCCCCCCGCCACCAAAATTTTCATCCTAATATGCGGATATCCTCAAAATTTGGGTACCCCCAATTTGCCTCCTTATGCCCCAAATCCATTTGTGATGTATTAACTGCCCGGTTATTTTTCTCAAATGATTGGAAATAATTTTCCAATGGGATTTATAAATACGGGTTCGTCTTCCAGAAGTCTACCTACACCGGTTTCAACTAGAGGAGACGTTTGAGACGATGACTCTCCAAATGCAATGCCAAGGGCATCAACTCCCCGAGATTAATTTCCACAATTTTCAACTCAATTTGGTTTGGATAATATTTTTTTTATCACTAGCACCAGAAAAAGAAAATACTTCAAATTATCAAGGTTGGAGCAAGGAGGAAGACATACTTTTGGCTCGTGCATGGCTCACGGTTTCTAACTGTAGCGTTACAGGAAACTACCAAGATATGAAGGAATTTTGGAAGAAGATTACTACCTACTACAATGCAAATCAAGGATCTTTACCACAAAGAGGACAAGGTAAATTAAAGTCTCATTGGTTTTGGTTTTCAAAGTATATCAATGAATTTAACCAACACTACAATAGACTATGGAATGAACACCATAGTGGGTGGAGTGATGATTCTGTAAGGGATGCAGCTCGTGAGGTATATTACTAAATTAAGAAAAAATATTTTGTGCATGAGCATGGGTGAAAAATTGTTAAAGATGATCTAAAATGGGCATCTGTTTCTACCGTCGAAGAGTCTTCAAAGAGAACAAGAATCAACGAATCCGGATCATACACTTCATCATTAAATGCTGATCGAAATGTTGAAATCAATGAGATCGAAGAGGAGGTTCGCCAAATAGGCCAAAAAGCAGCCAAGAAAGGAAAGCGAAAGTCAAAAGGAAAGTGCAAGGCACAGGATGATGACGATAAACTTGTTGAACTTCGGCAAAAAATGATGCATTTGGAAGCTAAAAAATTAGAGCAACAAGAATTTTACAATCAGGCGTACATGAGGCATACGGTTACCAAAGAATATGAAATTTTGACGAAGGACACCTCGAATATGACACCAGAATAATGAGCAAGACATGAACTTTTAGTTAAAAAAAATCTTGTCTAATTATAGATAGTCATGTTAGGTTATTATTTTGATTTATTCATTTTCATTGCGAGTCTTTGGTTTTATTTAAACTAAAATGTAAGAGTTGTGTCACTGTATTTGAATTTTATTACATCATATTGTTGTGTTTTAAATATGAAGTATTATTATGTTTACCGCATCGTATAATTATTATTATACAATTTCTAATTAATTGCATGAAAAAAGTAAAAAAAATAAAATAAAATCGAAACAATCTGGAGAAACTCAAAAAACTCATAAAAAATTAAGTATTAAATACTTTAAATGAATAAATACATTGATAATGTAGTCACGTCATTATTTTTTCATTTGTCCATACGTACCATAGTGTAGTCATGTCTCTCTTTTTATCTTGTCCATTAAATACATTGATAGTGTAGTCACGTCATTCTTTTTTCATTTGTCCATACGTACCATAGTGTAGTCACATCTTTCTTTTTATCTTGTCAATTAAATACATTGATAGTGTAGTCATGTTATTCATTTTTCATTTGTCTATACGTACCATAGTGTAGTCACATCTCTCTCATTATCTTATCCATACATTGGATAATGTAGTCAAATCTTTTTTGATCTTGTTGCAAGTACACTCTATAAATATGGAATAAGACTAGTGATATTGTTCAAGCCTTTTCAACTCTTTGGTATTTATATATTTTGCAACAACTCTTCACACACAACCATGTCTCAAAATTCTCTTTCCAGTTTTGATCCCTCTATTTTTGATGATGAAAGGAATGATTATATGCGGGAACAAATCTTTGATAATACGGGTCTAGAGGATTTAAGGAGGTTGGATGAGTTGATTGAGCAACGAAGAGGTGCAAGTGTTTCGCAAAGACGAAGGCATATCGATCGAGAGCGCGAAATTGGAGAACAAAGGTTATTTAATGATTATTTTTCTGACAATCCAGTATACTTTTCAGCTACTTTTCCGTACAAGATTCCGCATGGGGAAAGAATTATTTTTCCACATTGTACAATCTCTCCAAAATCACTCTGAATACTTTAAACAAATGCCTGATGCATCGGGTAAAATGGGATTTTCCCCATTCAAAAATCTACAGCAGCTCTTCGTCAATTAGCATACGGATTACCATCCGATTGTGTTGACGAATATTTAAGGATGGGTGGAAGTACTGCACTAGATTGTTCACAATACTTTTGTCATAACGTGATTGAAATTTTTCAGTCGTAATATTTGAGAAGACCTAATAATAGTGACGTTCAACGTTTACTTTAAATACGATGAACGACATGGTTTTCCAGGTATGCTTGGTAGCATTGATTGCATGCATTGGAAATGGAAAAATTGTCCGGTTGGATGGAGAGGTCGTTTTACTTCCGATTATCAAGATTCTCCCACCCTAGTGCTTGAAGCAGTTGCATCTGCAGATTTATGGATATGGCATGCATTTTTTGGAATTGCAGGATCTAACAACGACATCAACGTGCTTAACCAATCTCCTCTGTTTAACGATGTGTTACACATGTATCCTCCTGATATTCAATTTATTGTAAATGGTACTCAATACAACCGAGGTTTTTATTTAGCTGATGGTATATATCCTGAGTGGGCAATATTTGTGAAAAATTTTACATTTTCGGTGGATTATAAGAGAAAACTCTTCAAAAAGGTGCAAGAAGCAGCAAGAAAAGATGTTGAGCGAGCATTTGGAGTGCTTCAATCCCGTTGAAATATTTTACATATTCCATCTCGATTGTGGGACAGAGCATCGCTTAAAGATATAATGTATACTTGCATCATATTGCACAATATAATAGTTGAGGACGAGGGAGCTGAGACAACAAACTGGACTGATGACGCGGGCACTCAATTTTCGCATCATCAAGAGTCAATCCCTAATATGCAACAATATATTCAAAGGAGTGCAGAAATACGTGACCGTGAAGAACACCATCAACTACAATCAAATTTGGTTGAGTACATCTACGAACGTTTTGGAAATGATTTTGATGAAATATAATGTTTTTAAATTATTTTTAGATATTTTTATATTTTTACTATCTCTATAAACATCGTCTAGTAGTGAAATTTCGTTAATGTTATTTTTTAAATTAATTATTGTACTTTATTAATATATTATTCACTCAATGATTATTAAGCTTTTTTATATTCTTGCGTTATTTAATTATGTTTTTGGATTTTTTAAAAAATAATAAAATTCTATAATGTACTTTAGAAGTCATATAAACAAAATAATTATGAAAAATAAATTTAATTATTATTACAAGTAAATGTAGTTATTTTTATAAAAAGTAAGGTATTAATAATAGGATAAATGTAGGGTAATAATAGTGGGGTAGTTGTGGGTTCAAAATTATATAAGTAGTGAGTGTAATATTGTTATAGGAAAAAGTGTGTAAAGTGAGAGTATAGTGAAATGTTGACGTGGCAGTATAATGTTGTGTTGAATTATATATATTGTTGTTGATGCTTTTACTTATCAAAAAATGACTTTTGTTATGCCTGGAATCTCATGTCAAAGCGAAACTCAACGTATTTATTGAATGCATGATTTTTATTTTTATTTTTATTTTTTGAGTAAATTGAATGCATAATTCACAAACACATTGATTTCAAGTTTGAGCAGACTCGACTTATTATGCAATAATTTAATATTTCATTTGGTCCTCATTATAAAACACATGTTTAAACTAAATTTTGTGTTAATTTATGACATATAATTAGCACGGGAGTAATATGCAAACCACTTTACGAGATAACCACCACCTAAAAGACCCTTAAACTGTACACTTAGAAGAGTGCTCCATTGGGGCTAAACTGTACACATATGAACTACCTACAATACACTTGGTGTTTTAAGCTAGCTCTTCGATGTATTGCAGTTCAAAAGATAGTAGTATACATACAGTAAACTAAAGTTATTACAAAGAATTAGCTGAAAAATTGATCTAAAACTCAAATGTCACACCTCCGGAGGCCTCAAAAAATTAGGATTATTAATTAGCATTGTATTCCGGCGAACTCTGCAAAAGTTCTCAGTTGTTCAAGAACCATTTTATCAGCACCACTCCTAATCAACGGCGGGAAGAACAGCCAGAAACTGGTCAACATCACAAACCCAATGGTCAACGGCCCCGACACCCACAGGGGCAACTCGGTCTCCCACCGACCATTTGAAGCTTTCTTCTTAATTGCCACTTCCAGAGCGACACAAAACCCATGAAGAAGAAAAAAAGAGGTCATTTCCCAAGTGGGCTTCGCGCCGCCGGTCAAGAAGTACAAGAGGAGCTCGTGAAACAGACCGGAAACCAGAAAAGTCGCCGTGACGGCGGCGAGTGAGGCCAATAGTTTGTTCCCCTGTACCACCGCCGCTGACGCTGACTTCACGGGGCTATATACAGTGCGCCACAGATTCTTCGTCACCGTAAGGTTCCACCTTTTGCCCCAGAAATCTTGAAGGGAAGTGGATAAATACGGCCGATCGGACGGTGATTCGAGCTCGAGGCCCACCGTGAAATGAAGCATCAGATTCGAGACTGTTCCTAGACAATCCACTCCTAATAAAACCAAGCAACCATAGATTACAAGTAGAATTTTCGGGTGAAATTCGTTTTGGTGGCAGAGCAACACGCAAATCAAAACAGAGGACACTAAAATTTCGACGGCTACATAACCGAAATTGACCGATTTTTTGAGCGATTCAGCGGCAGAAGAGGATCGTTGTCTCTGTTCAAAGGCGGCATAATTGACAAGTGATATTACCAAAATCAGTGAGCCAGCGGCTACAAGAACTGGGGGAAGATGGATCACGGCAGCGAGGTAGTAGAACAGGGGAAGTAAGGAAATCAGCCTGAAGAAACCTTTGGGGATTATTGAAGAAATGAAATAAGAAAAGAAGAGGCACCCAAAAAGTGTTAAATACACAGAGATATTGTTGTTCTTGACAATACCAACATCCATCTCATCTCAGATTAATCGATTTCGTAAATTTCCGAGAGAAAAATGGTGGGTTGATACGAGAGTTGCAGATTGTTCTATCACTAGGGCGATTTTATATTTTCAGCTTTTCACCAAGCAGGTATGTTTTTAGTAGATTTTTGAACTTTGAACTTTGTGTTTCAAAGTTACACACGCCAACCCAGTGTTTTAGCTGATTTTGTTGAGGTTAGTGTCAAATCATCTCCTTAGCTGAAGGCATTGGTAGACACCTGTCCAACAACCCATCTCCAACTTTTTTGGCTGCAGAAACAGTTTTTTTTTTTTTTTTTTTTTTTTTTCTGTTATTGACTTTGAAATGCTAGAGCTGAAATGACAACATTACATTCATGTCTTCCACTCTTCAAATTGCAGTCCTTTTTGACTTTAATGATAGAGATAAAAAAGAGTTATATTGGTAATTTCCACAACATTGACCTATCTCTGGTACGATTCCCAGTAAATATTGGTAATTTTGTCTCTACGTTTGAGGAAAATATAAAATTTCATACCAATCGTAAATTAATCTGTTGCATTTTGAAGTTTGAACAGTAAAAATTTCTCTATAAGCATTTGTTACTTTTAATTGGTTCCGTAGCATGGATTTTTACATTGAGTACAACAAATTATAACGTTCACAAACGTTTAATCTAGCTAACGCATGTTTCACTCTCGTCAATTCATTTAAGTAGTAATGTTACAGAAAGTGAAACAACTATGTGTGGCATTCAACAGATTGAGGAGTAGGTTTCCATGGAAGAATCGAGAAGAATTGTTTTGGTAAAGTGTTCTGTATATTTCATCATAATCCAAGAAGTACAGAGATTTCTCATATATATACACAACACCTAATGGTCTGCTAACTATTGTATATACAAAATAGTCCACTAACTCTACCAATATACAATTTGACCCCTATGCTATACAACCGCCTTTGACTATTGACTAACCGATTTATACAGTATTTATACACAAACATACTAACTGTAATATGTACAACTGTATATACTTTATCCTTCTTCATCCCCCCCCTCCCCCCCGGGGAAGCTGGACCATGGAGGAAATCTATCATGCCAAGCTTGGAAAGCAAGGAAATGAATAAAGGATGAGGCAGAGACTTAGTAAACAAGTCACCCAATTGATCCCGAGTGTTAACATGTAAAGGAACTAAGAAACCCTAAAGAAAATGATGGCGTACCAGATGACAGTCCAATTCAAGGTGCTTGGTCCTTTCATGGAATACTGGATTTTCAGTGATATAGATGGCGGAACGACTGTCACACCAGAGAGACACAGGACCAGGAATAGTGATGCCAAAATCATGGAGAAGATAAGAAATCCACAAAAGCTCTCTGGTGGTGTGACTGAGACTTCGATATTCAGCTTCGGTGGATGAACAAGAAACGGTCCCTTGCTGCTTGGTTTTCCAGGAAATCAGGGAAGTCCTAAGAAAATACAAAAACCTGTGACAGAATGCCGATGAACGGGATTGGAGCCCCAATCCGCATCACTGTAACTTTCCAAAAGCAGAGAAGTATTGATGGAGTAAAATAGGCTAGCAGAAGGAGTACCCTTTAAGTATCTTAGAACATGTTGTAGAGCATTCCAGTGGGCTATACAGGGTGTATGCATGTGTTTGCTCAACTGTTGAACTACAAAGGTGAGGTCTGGATGAGTAAAGCCCAGATACAACAGCTGACCCACAATTCTTCTATAAACAGAAGCATTAGGAAGGAGATCACCAGGTTTATCAGTAAACTGGTGACCTTTTGGTAAAGGGGTAGATGCAGCCTTACATCCTAACATTCCAGTGGCCTTGAGAATGTCTAGGACATATTTCCTCTGACTGAGATGTAACCCTTGATCAAAACGAGCCAATTCAATGCCCAGAAAGTATCTCGCTGGACCAAGATCCTTAATTGTGAACTGATGATGAAGATATTCCTTGACGGCTGAAATGGCTTGCAAACTTTCTCCTGTAATAAGAACATCATCCACATAGATGACTAAGGCTACAAAAGCATCACTAACATAGCCAGTGAAGAGACAAGGATCATTCATAGATTGTTGAAAACCAAAACTCTGAATTTTGGAAGTGAACTCCACATTCCATTGTATGGAAGCCTGTTTAAGTCCACATAAGGACTTTTGAAGTTTGCAAACCTTGTTTGGAGGAGCTGAATATCCTTCAGGAGGCACCATGAAGACTTCTTCATCCAAAAATCCATGAAGAAATGCATTATTTACATCCAATTGGTGGATATCCCACTGTTTTTAAGCTGCAATGGCCAGAAGAAGTCTCACTGTAACCACCTTTGCAACTGGGGAAAAACTGTCAAAGTAGTCTTCACCCTCAACTTGGTTATAGCCTTTGGCAACTAATCTAGCCTTATACCTTTCCACTGTACCATCTGAGTTGTATTTGACCTTGTAAACCCACTTGCATCCAATAGGTTGTTTTCCAAGTGGTAAGTCAGTTAATATCCAAGTCTTGTTGGCCTCCAAGGCATCCAATTCTGACTGCATAGCTGTAATCCATTCTGACTGTCTCCTAGCTTGAATATATGATCTAGGTTCCTCAACACTGTCTATTTTGGTTGGAATTGTAATATGAATAGGCAATTCAGTTCCTCTCTGATTCCGGATTTATTTTGGGATGAGAATAGAAATCCCCTGTCAGCCAGCATGTCTATAAAATCCCCTCGCAACCTCACAACTAGGATCGCAAAAGGCTTCCTTCTTCAGCTTACCGGTTTCTTTGATTTTTTCGTCTTTGATTCAGGTAAATCTTTTTTAACTTTTTAATTTTTATTATTTTTTTACCTCTATACGGTAGAGGAAGCTTAAATATTTGTAAAAAATTTTCTCTGGTTCTTTTCCAAATCCTACAAACAGGTACTAATTTTGATTCCCTTATTTTTCCTGGTTTTGAAGTTGTGAATTTGTTGTTAATTGAGAGAGGTTGTTGATAGTTTTAATGGTTTGAAAACTAATAGACTGTCTTCCTTTCAACTGAAACCAAAGAGGAACAAGAATATATGTACTCCAATAGCAATAGGGAAGCCAGAAATAGAATTTATTTAGAAAATTAGTACCGCACAAAGTGACTTCCCTTTTCCCTAGCTTGAGCACTTCATCTCTTGCTCATAAACTCTCTGTAATTCACATCATCACCTAACAGAGAATACATGAATAAAGGTGTTAATTAATTCATAGAAAGAATTGTTGGAATTTTTAGAACCAGTGATTGGAAAAAGGAAATTTTTCCAATAGCAAATACTATTTTCAGTAGCAGCTGGTAATGATGTTCTTTTCATATTTGGGCAGTGTCATATAGGAAATTTGGGGCTCTTGATTCTCTGACTCCAGAATAAGTGTTGTATTGCAACATGAGTAGAAAAGTGCATGTATGCAACCCATTAATTTGCTTCCTTCCAGGAGGCTTGAAAATGTAGCTTAACCAATTGAATAAGAAACACTTGCGACAGGAAACAGTAGGTTATTTCAGTTTCCAAATGGTGGATTTACATCACCTTATTTGCTTGTGGTGAGCACATTTGGTCTTGTATGTTTTTTCCTTACACCTATGCGTGGAAAATTGGACTTTCTATTGTAAGTGTGAAAATTAATGAGTTAGAATAACATCTGCGTGTTCATGCTGCCCTTTTGATAATTGATGACCTTAGATTACAGTTTTGGTTATACGGTGCTAGGACAGAACCTAGGAGGTTAAATATGATTGGCTTTATGATCTTACTCGGATATTATTAGATTAGTGAAATACTTTATTTGATTATTACTCGGACAGAAACTAGGATATTATTAGATTAGTAGTTCGAACTTTCTCGCTGGAATTCTGCAAAACCATAGAATTTGCATAACAACGATGATGCTAGAGAAATGGAAAAATTGGAATCTTCAAAAAAAGCATGTGCAAAATACTTCATTTGATCACAGTTTCTGGAATCGTGGAAATCATTGCTCCCATATGATCAACTCCTTGTGCTACATGTAGAAAAAAAGAAAAAAAAAGTGTTCCATATGCTCCAAATAGTTGGAGGATACCGTCGATTGGCTTTAGTTAGCATTGTCAAAAGACTTCTTCATTGTATACTAAGCAGTTCTCAGAACTTAAACGCAAGTCTTTTTAAATTTCAGATGCAGCAAAAAATTTATGATGCATATCACAGTTTCAGATGCATGTCTGTCTGACAGATGCATCATTCTGTTTCGACTGTTGTTAGGAGAGCTGCGACAACTAAATTATAAATTCTCTGATAATGCAATGATTTTTTTTTATTTTTTTTAATTTTTTTGCACTTTTGAATACAGAACCCGCTAGAGTGTAACTTCCTGTTGTTTCCACTGGCCTGAGATCGAGTTTTTGAGCCTTGAAGGAATCAGAATGGCATGTACATGATTGACGACTTTTTGTAATTTTCTCAATGGCATCCTTTGGAAATGGCTTTTAAGTACAACCCCCAAGTGTGCTCTGTCCAAAATAAATGGCAAGGCTCTTGCAGCTACATGAAGATGAGAGACGAACTTCAGACAAAAAAACATGCATGGAAATGTTGACAGGGCCAAGAATTTGGACGTGGTGAAATCTGAACTAAGGCTTAGCAAGGGAAAAACTGTGACTGATATTTCATCTTTTTGTTTTGTGTTTGTGTGTGTGTGTGTTTCTTATTTTCCTTTTTTTTCCCTTTATCTACACCATTTCCCCATGCATTCGTTTGATGCTTTTCTTCTTTTTCTTTTTTTTTTCTTTTTTCGTTTACAACATTTTGGCAAATGCTTACTACATTTTGGCAAATGCTTCCTATCACATGTGGACTATCAAATTTGCAAGGAACAACCATAATACTATAATGTCAAGCTTCTAATTTGTATATGCGTCAAGAAAAAGAAATTGCAATTTTTTCCCTAATTGACTATTCACTTACGCCGGTGGACGGAAACAAATATGATCATTCTGAATCTCTAAAGAACTAAGTTGGGGTAACACATTGCAAATTATTATAATTGTTGCCAACTAAAATACTTAATGAGTAATTGTTGCGCATTCACTTGCAAATGTAAATCTGATTTGTAAAAGTGAACCATGCATATTATATACTAGACAAAATATGATTTGTGTTTAAGGTCTTAATTTCAATAACTACCGTTTTGTAGGTTGAAGTTTCAGAGATTATAATAAATACAAAATACATTTCATTATAAATATTTGTCAATATTGACATCGATATATAATATATTAAAA